AAAGGATTACAAGAGAGTAGTGTTGATAGCTGTGGCAGGAAAATATTGGGTAGATGATGATGAGAATGAAGCGAAGCGGATTACAAGAGAGTAGTGTTGAGAGCTGCGGCAGTCCCTCAGATACTGGAATACAGGCAGTCTTCGACTTACAACAGTTCGTTCAAAGTTATAACGGCACTGGAAAAAGTGACTTCGGACCCCTTTTCACACTTAACGACCATTGCAACTTCCCCACAGTCAATGGTGGTTTAAAACTGAGGCGCTTGGCAACTGGCTCATCCTTACGATGGTCCCGCGATCCCCTTTGGCGACAAGCCAAGTCAGATTCACTTCACAAGCCCGGGACTAACTTAACCACCAGCAAAGTCCTCAGATGGGACCCCTTAACCAGCGTCTCCCTTAGCAACGCACATTTGGGACTCCATCGCAGCCATAACTCGAGGACTGCCCGTATTGGCGACGCCTCCGCTTTTCCAGTCCAGAGGGAAAACATCCCCCTCGCCCCCCCACCCAAAAAAGAGTTGCAGGCTTGCCAGATTAAGCCCCTCCCCCCCAAACACACCCATGCTGGTCTGTTGGGTGGCTTTATCAGGGTTTGTCTCCTTCCCTAACCATGGATCGTTGCCATCTCTTTCCTCTTCGCCTCGGGGAGATCCCAGCCGATCAAAGGAAAGCCATTCCTCCCCCCCTGCCCCCCCCCCCCCCACATGCTTCTCAAAATGTGAGATTCCAACCCATTTTTTTTTCCCCCGTCCCTTTTTATTGGAAATCTCTTTTTTCTCCCATCTGGGGAGTTTTGCAAAAATAGCAAAATTTGAGCCTGGGGTGGGGGGAGGGGGGGGCTACTTCGCCCACCGTACGGCTGTTTCAGTTTTTCAAACAGGTGCCTTCGCGCTGCGGCTTGCAAAAGGACCGAGAGCTCGGGAATCAGACAAACAATGGTTTATGCAAACACGGTTTGATGCTTCTCCCTCCCCAGCCGGCCAGAGGGCCCCCCTCCCCCTCTTTTTTCCCCAGCCTTGTTTCCTCCTCTCTCTCTCTGTCTCTTTCTTTTTTTCTGTGTCTCTCTCTCTCTGTGTCTCTTTCACTCTCTTTTTCTCTCTCTCTCTCCCTCCCTCTCTCTTTCTTTTTCTCTCTCTTTCTCACTCTTTCTTTTTCTCTCTGTGTCTCTCTGTCTCTATTTCTGTCTGTTTGTCTCAGTCTGACTCTTTTTTTCTCTGTCTCTCTCTCTCTCTCTGTGTCTCTCTTTCGGTCTCTCACTCTTTTTCTCTGTCTCTCAGTCTCTCACTCTTTCTTTTTTCTCTGTCTCCCTCCCTCCCTCTTTCTCTCTCTGTTGCTCATTCTCTCTCTCTTTTTTCTCTCTGACTCTTTCTCTCTCTCTCTCTCTTTCGGTCTCTCGCTCTTTTTCGCTCTTTCCCTGTCTCTCTCACTCTCTTTTTCTCCCTCCCTCCCTCCCTCTTTTTCTCTCTCTCTTTCTCTTTCTGTTTCTCTCTGTCTGTGTCTCTCTGTCTCTATTTCTGTCTGTTTGTCTCAGTCTCTCTCACTCTTTCTCTCTCTCTCTCTCTCTGTGTCTCTCTCTTTCGGTCTCTCACTCTCTTTTTCTCTCTCTGTCTCTCAGTCTCTCTCACTCTTTCTTTTTTCTCTGTCTCCCTCCCTCCCTCCCTCTCTCTGTCGCTCATTCTCTCTCTCTTTTTTCTCTCTCTGTTTCTCTCCTTCTCTCTCTCTCTCAGTCTCTCACTCTTTCTCTCTTTCCCTGTCTCTCTCACTCTCTTTTTCTCCCTCCCTCCCTCCCTCTCTCTCTCTCTCTCTCTCTCTCTGGCTCCGCGACCTTCTAGGCGGCTGGGATTAATTGCCGTGTTTGATATTGAGATGTGGGGAAAATGTCAGCCTGGAAGTTTTAATTACAGATCGGCTGCCGGCAATTAGCGCGGATTCGCACGCAAGACGGGTCTGGCGGAGAGGCCAGCGCGGTGGCAAAAACAGCCGGATGCCCGATTCCCTCTTTGAGGGGGGGTCTTGTGGTGGAACGTGGGGTGCAGCTAGAGAGTCACCCCTATTTTTCCTGGGAGGGGAGAGAACGAAAAAAAAAAAACAAGGGCAGAAAACCATGGAAAGAAAGAATTTGCTCCCCGTGATATAGAAAGCTGCAATTTCCGTCGCTAAGTGGGACATTAAGTGCCTTTTGCCTCCCATTTTACGTCCATTCATGCCACCATTGTTAAGTGAACCCACGCGTCATTAAGTTAGTCATGCGGTTGTTCAGCCAATTCGGCTTGTCAGAAGTCAGAAGCATAGCTAGTCCTTGGCTTACGACCAAAACTGAGAGCAGGATTTCCGCTGCTAGGCCAGGCAGTCCTTAAGTGAGTCGTGTGCAAAATTTTGCGGGGGGGCAGGGGGGCGACAGTTCTTAAGCAAATCTCACTGCTGTTGTTGAGTGAATCAGTCCGTCATTAAATGAGTCTCATTGACTTAGCTTGGGAAAGTCGCAAAAGGGGAGGACGTGACCACCCCCCCCCCGATACACTGCAACCGTCGTAAGTTTGAGTCCCTGGCCAAGTGTTTGAATTTTGAGCTCATGACGCAGGACAGTGTGCAGTAGCGTAGACCCCGTTTAGTGACCTTTCCATAGTTACAATGGCGCTGGGGAAAAAAATGTGACTTACTATCAGTCCTCACACTTACAACCAAGTCACTAGATTGAAATTTGGTTGCTTGGCGACTGCTGTGTATTTATGACCCTTGTAGCTGCGACCTTCCCAATGGGGTTCGCTTAACAACGGCAAGGATTTGTTTAAGAACGGTGGCCCCCAAAAAAGAAAGAAAAGAAAAATCACAAAATTGGTGCACGACTTGCTTCACTCGCCTCGTTTAGCGGCAGAAATCCGGGTCTCCCTTGCGGTCGTAAGTCGGGGACTAGCTAGGCGTCGTCTTTTGAGGCTAAGTTAAGAAACCAAAAAAACCACCTTTTTTTTTTTAACCTGCTGAGTCCAACCTATCGGGTAGCCGGCTTCTGGTTGGCACTTTTCCTAGTTGTAGAGAATTGATCCATTTCAGGCCTTGCTTTGCTTTGCAAAACTTTGAGAAAGGTCAAGTTACTAGTCCTCATGGTGGCCATCCAGAGCCAGAGAACTATTTGAGGGCGGTGGGGTTGTCTAACCAGGACTCAAATCGATCGTTGTTTGCATTTTGCACCCAGGGGAATCAAACCAAGGAATTAAAACCAGGCAAACCCCAGACTTCTCCTTTTTGTGTGTGTATGTGTGTGTGTGTGTTTGTGTGTGTGTGCAAATTGTTGCCTTTTGACCATTGGGTGTGTGGTTCTTCCTGTTTGAATCCTGCCAAAACAACAACACAACACCCCAAGATTTTGCAAACGATGCCCATGGCCTTCCCCCCGCCCCCTTAAAATTCTTCCCCGGTGTTTTAAAATTGTCGTGTGCGTAGTTGTCGATGGGACCCGGTGTGTTGTAGGACGGGAGGGAAAGGCGAGGGACAACAACTCCGACACAAAGGAGGAGAAGTTGTTTTAAAAAAACATAGAACCCACCACACACCGCAATGGGGTGATACTGCCAGGATCCGCCCTTGGCGCCGAATGCCGCTCCCTTTCTTGCACGCAATTGTTGCCGGACACTTAACAGCCCTTCCTGGACCCACATGTGCACACACACACACATACACACACACACAGACACACAAAGAGCAATTGCGACAATCCCTCCCTACGACGCCAACGACACAAATTGGGGACGGCTGTAAACCACGCAGGTGGCATTTGTGTCTGGGCTGCGCCTCCCCGAGCCTTTGCGATGCAAGGAAAATAAACCGCATTGCAGATGTGGGGTGTTGTTGTTGTGGGGTCTGTGTGCAAACGGCGCGCGGAGGGGTGGGGTGGGGGGGGAAGAGCAAAACGCGACACTTGCGCCTGTCGCCAAAGTCGTCCCGTTGTCGCAATTTTCATCCGGGATGCCAGAATTTGGGGGTCTTGGCTTGAGAAATGGTGGCGTGGCGTGTATGGAAAGGGGGCCTACGGTCTCTAGGGGGGCGGTAGGAAGAGAGAGACTGCTTACCCCACCCTCCTCCCCAAGGATGGAGCATAGAACATTCTCGGGGAGGGGCCTTAGAGGTCATCTAGTCCGACCCTCAGCAAGAGACCCTACACAGTTTTGGGGAACAAATGGCTGGCCGGTCTCTCTTTCTCTCTCTCTCTTTAAACTTCCAGTGACGGAGTACCTACCACTTCTGAAGGAAGGCCTCTTTTTTTGACTTTGGAAGGGGCACCCAAAGGTCATCTAGTCCAACCTCCTTGTTCTAAGTCTGGCGGGGGACCTTACCTACACCGTTTAAAAAAAAACCAAGCGATGGAGCACC